ACTTGACTACTAATCAGAAGGCTGGTGGTTCAAACCCACCAGCCACTGCTCAGAAGGGAGGTTGGGCAGTCTACTTCCATGGTGATACTGCCTCAGAAATCCAAGGAGGGGTTGCTATGAGTCAGATCCGACTTGATGGCACATAACAACAAGTGTAGGGTGTGTCTTAAATCAACCTTTTTTTATAGATATAAAAGCAGATTATGCAAGCAGCAAACAAAAGCAGGAACGGAGGAAGATAGATGCCAAGCCACATGAAGATTGCTGAACAACAGAAGCTCAGAAGAGGCAGGGATCTTCCCTTAGAGCCAGCAGAGACAGAAAGCCTTCCCTAGAGCCTGAATTCAGACTTCTAGCCTCCTAAACAGTGAGAAAATGAATTTCTGTTTGTTAAAACCATCCACTTGTGGTATTTCTAGAATAGCAGCACTAGAGAACTAAGACACCCCTCAAGGGCAGGGACTGCTTGCTTTTGTTCTCTGCAGTGTCGCCATTGCCTGCCTAGTGGCACTCAGTAAATATTTATTGACTTAGAGTGAATTTGAATTGTCGAATTCGTAAAGGGACTGTGAATGCTAGCAAAATGGATTTAGATCTGCTGAAAAGAAGTAAAAACAATCTCCCTCCACTTACCACACCCTATCTCCTACCAAGTCTCCCCCATTCTCCAGTAATTCTGCTTGAATTAGTAACACAAAGATCTTTAGGATAGCATAGTAGAAATAGTGTAAGAGCCCTGTGGCACAGTGGTTAAGTGCTTGGCTTCTGTGTAAAAGGTTGGCAGTTGGAGCCCACCAAGCTACTCTCCTTGAAAGAGAGATGTTGCAGTCTGCTTCCTTAAAGATTACAGCCTTGGAAACCCTATGGGGCAGTTCTGTTATGTCCTATAGGGTCAATGTGAGTTGGAGTTGACCGGAAAGCAATGGGTTTGGTTTTGGGTTTTTATGACATAGAAGAGTCCCTGAGTGGTACAAACAATTAAGTACTTGGCTACTAACTAAAAGGTTGGCAGTTTGAATCTACCCAGAGGCAAGTCAGAAGAAAGACATGGAGATCTACTTCCAAAAAAAATCAGCCATTGAAAATCATACGGTGCAAAATTCTACTCTGACACACATGAGGTCACCGTGAGTGGGAGTCAACTTGATAGGACTTAGGGGTGTGATGATGGCAGAGAATGGTCAGAAATTTTAAATGGGTCACATAAGTAAAGCCCTTATCGCATAATAAATATTCAACAAACAGTGGCTTAAAAATAAAAAGGGAGTGAGAACCCAGTCTGGGAGAAAGTCCACGCCTGCTAGCCTCTTCATGAAACACTGGATTTTGAAAGAGGAAAGGTTGCAACGGAGCTGGGCCTGGGTCCAGACTCTTCTCTGCTCTGTCCCACTTGGGATATCCACGGGAGCTTCTAAGAAGCAAAATGGAGATGCAGAGGATTCCTCCTTGTAGCTGGATAGTTCCCAGCCTGTGTCCATGCCTCCACCTCCTTCATGTGGCGTCTCTGTTGGAGCACCGAGGCAGATATGCTTACGTGCTGTCCTTGAGAGAGGCCTGTGGTTGAAGTTACAGCTCCTTTCTGATCTTTTCACACACTCACATTCCTGCCTAACTTTTGCTCCAGAGAATTATAATCAAACTAGTTTACTTTGGTTTAAGATGGTGTGTGCCACTTGCAACACTCTTGGCACAGAATTTGGCATGCATTGTTGTTGTTGTGTCAATTCCAACTCATAGAGATCCTCTCTGGTGGCATAGTGCCTAAGGCAATTGACTGCTAACTAGAAGCCTGGTAGTTCAAACCCATCAGCCACTCCTCGGAAGGAAGATTGGGCAATCTACTTCTGCGGTGATACTGCCTTGGAAACCCAAGGAGGGGTTGCTATGAGTCGGATCCGACTCTACAGCACTGAGTTTGATTTTTCTTTTTTTTTAGGATAGAGTAGAACTGCCCCCACAGGTTTTCCAAGACTGATTTTTACAAAGAAGACTGCTACATCTTTCTCCCATGGAGCCATTGGTGGATTCAAACCACCCACCTTTCAATTAGCTGGCAAGTGCTCTAACCACTGTGCCACCACGGCTGCCAATGGCATGTATTAAACTCACCAAAACCAAATGCATTGCCATTGAGTCTATTCTGACTCATAATTACCCTCACTGGGTTTCCAAGGTTGTAAATCTTTATGGAAGCAGACTGCCTCATCTTTCTTCACAGAGTGGCTGATGAGTTCAAACCACTGACCTTTTGTTAGTAGCCAAATGCCTTACCACTACTCTACCTGAGCTCCTTAATGGCATGTATTAGTAGGGCTCATTAAATATCAGTTATTGTCATCCTGAGAGCACAAGTCTAATCTGCACTTCTAATTTGTATCACATTTGCTAAGCACCTAGCGCAGCATCTGACACACAAAGGAATGTGCATTGAGAGGATGAACGAAAGAGCATATGGATGGCAGGACACTTCCTCCTTCCTGGCCTGTGCTTGGCAGCTCTCAGTTCTGCTCAGTTGCCACTAGGGGGCAGGAGCAGTTAAGATAACAATACCCAGGAAGCACTTGATCTCCAAATTTTGAGGAAGGAAGATGATGGAGAAAAATGTTAAAATGATTGAAAAAAGGAAAACAACCCAAAACAAAACAACAGCAATTCAGTTCTTTATCCTTAGGAGCCCAAATGGAAGGGAATGTGTGAGAACTGGCATTGAAGTTAGATTTAAAGAACTTCCAGAGCACAAAGTTTGTTAAATGTCAGCTTAACTGATCAAGAAAGGATTGCGATCCAATTGCCTTGAGAGCTTTTATACAGGTTATTTATTTTTCATTTCATTTTTTTACCCCTTAGTCACATCTGCCGGAGCAGAGTGGATGAAAAAGTGGGCTCTTTAAATTCGAAGCCTCTGTGACCTCATTAGATTCCCCTCTAAAGTAATCTACCTGTTAGTTTTGTTGTTTGGTGCCGTCAAATCAATTTTCAACTCATAGTGGCCCCATGTGACAGAGTAGAATTGCCTCACAGGGTTTCCTGGGCTGTCATCTTTATGGGAGCAAACTGCTAGTCTTTCTCCTGGGGAGATGCTGGGTGAGTTTGAACCACCAACCTTTCGATTAGCAGCTGAGTGTTTAGCCTTTGTGCCACCAAGGCTCCTTAACCCTTCTGTAGTTCTGCCTTAAGGAGCCCTGGTGGCACAGTGGCTAAGCACTGGGCTGCTAACAGAAAGGGAGTGGTTGGAAGCTACCAGCTACTCTGCAGGAGACTGCTTCCATAAAGATTTATATAGCCTAGGAAACCCTACGGGCGGTTCTACTCTGACCTGTACGGTCGCTATGAGTTGGAATCAACTTGACGGCAGTGGGTAGTCCTGCCTTAAATGACTCCATTCTTCCAGTGCAATCGTAAAATACCTTTATTGGTCAGGTTAGCCACCATTCATGCTTTTCCTGTAATGAGGATGCTGTATAGGGACATGATGGTGTTCACATGCAGACGCTTTCTGAAGAGCCCTAAAGCAGAGGGCAGCCTTCGCCCTTGTGTCAGAGCTCATTTGTTGAAATGAGCTGGTTTGGCTTTTGTGGATTTCAGGGTCTGGAGCCAAGAACATAGTCCAAGTATTCCCCACACCCTTCTCAGGGAAGCTGTTCCAAAGCATATATGGTGTCAGGGACATAAGGTAAGCTAGGCCGGGACCAGACTCAGGCCAATGCTCCTCAACCTGTCCTTGTCCCTGGCTGCCCAGGTGGCTCCATCCCATCAGTGTCCAAAAAAGCAGGTGGGTTAGGCTCCAGGCAACATTACCTCTCAAAAAAGGATAGAAGTAATTACTTTCCATTCCAGCTATAAAGCAGCAAGCAGCTTCAGTACTGAGGGTGCAGCTCAGAGATGGGAGAGCAGAGGGCTCATGCCCAGCCCAGGCAAGACTGAGTGCCGGGTCTGGGCTTCGCAAGCCCCAGTGAGCATGCCCAGTCAGAGCTAGTACTTTCTCTCTGGTCTTAGGACAAATTACTTAACATTGATTAACCATACCCTCCTGCTTTGAGCCAGCAGGCAGGTCCAGGGCTGGTTGAGCCCTGTCTCTCCCATTGGAAGATAGGAGCTCTCTGCTTGGATAAAAGGAGAGGACAAACTACTTGTTCATGTTTGAAAAACCTCATAGCCTCCACCTTTGAGGGTGCTTTTGGAAATGCAGAGTGAATGCTGGCAAATATGAAACTCCTGGGCTGCTTCCTCAGGTCAGCCAATTGGAGGTGTGCTTGCCTGAACTATGGATACTGATGACAAGCGAAGCTGGCCTCTCCTCTTTCGAAGTCTGATCCATGTTCAAAGAGCTGCCCAGATGGGAGAATATAGCCTCATGAATTTATCAAAGCCTAAGGTTGGCTTAGATCACACATCAGGCCATGAATATTATCATCATGCAGGTGACATCCAATCTAGTGGCTTTCAAAGAGTGAGGTTAGGGAGGTATAGAGGTGACTGTTGGTACCTTTCAACCTCATACAAAAATGGGGTTTCTCTGCATAGGTCTCTGGCTGAGTGCCCACATGCCTTGGGATCTCCTGCCTCTGCCCAAGTCACAGAAGAGGCGACTTTTGGAAGTTTGAGTGGGTGAGGTGCACTTAGGAGGAGGCAGCTGGGCAAGAGGTATATTCTGAGGAGCAATGAGAGGGAGCCCAGAAGAACTGCACCACCAGCCCAGCATGTGGGGAGAGCCGTGAAGCTGATCACAGAAACGGTCAGCGATTGTTAGCAAAGAACAGTTAGGTACTACAGCCCCAGTAACATTTAAAGTTCCACGACGCCAGATTATTGGGAAGAATTTATGGCTAGTGGGATTTCTGGGGTTGGGCCCTCCAGACATTACTCCTTCCACCACACGTCTGCCCCCAGAAAAGAGAGAGCTTCTGCCCGGTTCCCTCAGCAGAAGGCTGCCTATTCCTTGATCCCACCTAGCCCTGACTAAGGTAAGAAGAATAAAGAGGGGGAGCCTGTGGAGTTTTGTCACATGGTCTATTCCAGACCTTCCAGCAAAAGCCAAACCGAACCATCAAGCCAAATGCAACGGGGCCGTGTGGGCTCTCTGGCCCGCGCTCAGTGCGAGGGCTACTCAGATCTCAATGAGACTGGCGACGCGCAGGCAGAGGGGCGCATCCGCCGGCACCGCGCTGCGCTGTATCTCGTTTCCGTCCAGGCGCAGCACTTGCAGCTTGGAGAAGTTCATGACGTCCACCACGGTGCAGAAGCTGCTGATGGAGAACTCTGTGGAGACAGAAGGGGCGGGGTGGGTGGGGAGAAGCGCAGATCAGGGATCTGGATTAGTAGCGAGGCCCAACAGCCTCTGAGAAGCTGCTTACAGAAATACTCCTTAAGCAAGGGTGGAACTCGCGGGGGGCAGGCATTTTCCGGGATTGGAGTCATACCTATATGCACCCCTAGGGGGCAGAACTAGGGTTAGTGAGGGAGCTCTGCCTGCTTAGTCAGCTCCGCCTTTTAACCTCGGCCCCAATCCGTACATTACTCTGTCGTTGTTGTTGTTATGTGCGGTGGAGTCAGACCGACTCATGACTCACAGTGACCCCTCCTTGGGTTTCCGAGGCAGTATCACTACGGAAGTAGATTGCCCCACCTTAAATGCCCTTGAGTGTCTTTCCAGCCGGGACCTGCTCCCCCCCAACCCCATCTACAGCCAGCAGGGTGCAGCAGAGGGTAGCCAAAGATCAACCATAGCAGTTGTGCGTACTTTTATTGATTTCTAAGAAGAGACTGGGTTTGAGCTCTGGTAGCATAGTGCCTAAGGCACTTGACTGCTAACCAGAAGGCTGGCGGTTCAAACCCACCAGCCACTCCTCGGAAGGAAGGTTGGGCAATCCTACTTCCGTAGTGATGCTGCCTCGGAAACCCAAGGAGGGGTCGCTATGAGTCGGGGCCGACTCCACGGCAAATAATAACAACAACAACAACAAGAAGAGACTGGGGAAATGGAGGGGCTTGAATCTTGAACATCTCCTGCCACTTTGTAGATAGAGAAAGTGGCAGGAAATTAAAAGAGAGGAAGCCCAGGCTGAGAGACAAGTGTCTTTGAGTGCCAGAGCTTTGAGGAGGTTGCATGTCTCCATTCCACTGAGTGCTACCAAAGGAGTGAGCAAGGCTTTGAGGTTAAAGAGACTGGCAATTCAGAGCGTACTTGGGCTCCGGACCTCAAAAATCACATAAGTAATCTCCCTGCCTCCTGCATTTAATGGAATTGCGTTCTGCCTCCTTTCTTAGATCTTCAAAGGAGTGCCCGTTTTTGAAGATTTTTTTTCCCTTAATCCGTGCAATCTTAACAGATAAAATAGTTCTTTCTGGTATTGGAAGAAACCTTTCTACTGCAGTTCACCCTGTTCTCCCTCTGGTTGTCCTCATTTGAACAAACTAGTTCTCCTCTTGGTCCAATCAACCACCTCTGTCTCAAGTCTACTGGGTAGGTAACTTCTTAAGGAAAAAATCAAGAACTTAGGCGAGTTGTGTCTGGAATCTTAAAAGTTTTCAAGCAGCCGTCTAGATGCAACGATGGGTCTCTCCTTGTCCAGAGCAAAGAAGAATGAAGAAAACCAAAGACCCACAGAAACAATTAGTCCAAGGGACTGGTACACCATGCAATCCTCAGCCTATACGACTATGAGACCAGAAGAACTAGATGGTGCCCGGCTACCACTGTCAACCACTTGGAGGGGGATCTCTGTAGGAGATCTTCCACAGAATGGGAAAACAATGTGGAACAAAACAAAATCATTTGGAGAAAAAAAAAAGGACCAGGTTTGCTGGTCTGATAAAGTCTGGTAGAACCACTGAGACTGTGGCCCCTGAATGCCCTTCAGGTCTGGAATTGAACCCACTCCTGTGGCTTCCAGCCAAATAAAAGACAGGCATATGAGCTGAACATTTACATTAGGTAGATATACTCCTTGAAGAGATCAATCATGGGAGAATAGAAGGGCTGTGTATATACAGGGAGACAGCTGGGGGGAGGTTAGGAGTGCATAGGAGGGAAGGACACAGGGAAGAGGTTGCTATGGGGAGGAAGTGGGAGGAGAACTGTTGCACTGTGGGAGATTACAGTCAATGTCATGACACAAAGTGTACATGAACTGCTGTATGGAAGATGAATTTGCTCTGTAAGCTTTCACCCAAATCACAATAAAAGTTAAAAACAACAACGACAACAAAAAAAGCCAAGAACTTAGCTAAAATACTAGCAGGAACATCAGAAGTAACCATTGAAAAGCTGCTGAAACTGCTAAGAGGTGCCTTCAATGTGGTAAGTGAGAGTTTTGGGAAAATTCTTGTCTTTTTCTACAGAGTGGGTTTGGAAGAAGTTACAGAGTCTTGAGGGTGGAATCATGCCTGTCTACGTCCCTAGCAGCTGTGACTCTTGGGCAGGGTGGGGGCTGCAGCTTGTTTTTGCTTCCACCAGAGGCATTCCTCAGCTTGCAGCAGTGGTTAGCAGTTGTGTTTCAGTGTGGAGCTGGGCAGTAGGAGGCTGTTCTGATTCTCTTCCTGGGGTGACTGTGGAGGACCCATGTGGGGGAGGTAGTTGTTGTTAGGTGCTGTTATATTGATTGCAACTCATGGTAACCCCACGGGACAGAGTGGAACTGCCCTATCAGCCTCCTAAGCTGTAATCTTTACAGAAGCAGATTGCCAGGTGTTTGTCCCATGGAGCCCCTGGCTGGGTGCAAACCACCAACCTTTCGGTTGTCAGGTGAGTGCTTAACCATTGTGCCAGCAGCACTCCTTGAGAGAGGTTATGGGTGTGAAAATATAGGTTCCAAAGAAAACAGAGTGGAGAGCTTGAATAGGTGGATAAGAAAATGTTTTAAAATTACCATTAATTATTCAGAAAAGAAAAACATTTACTACAGGGGAGTTCAGTTGTTTTCTGTCTCTATTAAGAGCTCACCAAGATGAGATGAAGGTGAAGTTGCAACACAGTACCTTGTAGTCAACTAGAAGACAGAATATTCAGGCCCAAAGAATAATTAGATACTGGAAAGAGGTGGGGGAGACTGGGAAATACCATTCTTTGGAAAGTATTCAAAGTGGTTTAAAAGTTCTGGAATGCTTATGTTTCCTTTCTGGTCACAGGGCAGAGATAAAATGGCTTCTGTGCGGGGAGTTTGAGGGCAGAGCTGAGGTCAGGGACTAGGCCTATGGCATCTTGGAAAAGGAATGAAGTGGCCCTGCTTAAATATTGCTTCCAACCCTGTTTGAGCCTGAGCTCGAAGTTCAGTGAGAGATTCTCTAACCCAGCCTGGAGACTCTCTTCTCACTCCTGGATCCCCACTGTGTGTATATACATCACAGGGTGCCCTTGTGGGCAGCTAGATACCCAGTGTTCATAGATTCTATCCATACGCTGCTGCCATTAGCTCCGTGAGCCTTGCCCGGGCTCATGCATAGGACCAGGCTTCTGTTTGGAAGCACTGGAGAATATTTTCCAGCCTAGATTAAATACTGACATAAGTCTTTCCAAATTCCTCCTGGTGTACCCGCCCTGCTCCCCTGGATCCCAGAGCCTCAGAATAACATTCTGAGCTGTGTTGTTCCCTTGCTGTTGCCAGGCTGGAAAAACTGAGGGACAGATAGATGAAGGAAGGGGGAAGGAGCAGACCATGCCTTATCCCCCTACATGCCCCTTAGTTCCTGTTCTTTTAGTTCCTCCTTCAGAAAGTTGCTTCAATCCCACCTTCATCTTCCCTCTACTCCCCCAAGTCTCCAACTTGCTGTGCAGGGAAACATCCTCACATTTGCCCCAGCAGTGAGGGCTGAGCTTGGGGAGCTGTAATTCTGGCCAGTGGTCTAAATCAGAGAGGGATTCCTCACCATTCCCAGCCAGAGATGCCCGGTTCTTCCAGTTGCCATCAAGTTAATTCTGACTCATGGTGACCCCATGAGTGTCAGAGGAGGACTGTGCTCTGTGGGGTTTTCAGTGGCTGGTGTTTTGGAAGTAGATCACCAGACTTTTCTTCTGAGGCATCTCTGGGTGGATTCTAGCCTTTGGGTTGGCAGCTGAGCTTGCTAACCATTTGCACCACCCCCTCAAGGACTCCCTCCCAGTTCTAGGTCCTTTGATAGGAAGGGCTTACACTACACAGTCTGGATGACTTTGAGACTTGCCTTCTCTCTGTCTCTGTGTTTGCGATGCAAAAAGGAGCTCTGGTGGCGCAGTGCCTAAAGCATTTGATTGTTCACTAGAAGGTTGGCAGTTCAAATCCACGAGCTGCTCCACAGAAGGAATATGGGTCAATCTACTTCTGTAAAGATTTACTGCCTTGGAAACCCAATGGGGGTCACTATGAGTAGGAAACAACTCTATGGCAGTGAGTTTGGTTTGCAATGCAAAAAGCTGTGTCTGTTGACATCAAAGTTGGCAATGAGAAAAAAAATGATACTTATTAATAGTAATAAGTATCATGTAATTACATGCCAAGCCAAGCACTTTACATGTATTAATTCAGTAGTTTAAGACAAATAAGGAGTTGGTGTTATTTTGCCTAAAGAGAAGAATCAGACAAGGACTGAATGACAACTAAAGGGATCTGGCTTAAATTGCAGAAGAAGCGATGTGGGGTAGATGCTTTTTGGGGTTTGGCTTATGGAAGAACTGTCTTGCATGATGTTAGGACACTTTACTTAAGTAACTTAATTTTCAGAAGAGCTTTTGGGGAGAGATGGACCACCTCATATTTGAACAGCAGGTATGGTTTGAATGGAGGCAGAGAGGGGAGAAGATTCTAAGATGAAGCCTTTCCCACCCCCACATTTCTCTGCACAGTGAGGCAATAACTAATGTTTCCTCCCCTGTGACAGCAGCTCTTTACCGTCACATTTCAGGGTCAAACTTTGATGAAGCATGGCATACGCTATATTTATATATTTCTGATGTGACAGTCCTCCTGAAATCAGAGTGGGTGGCAGGTGAGGAGTGGTGACTTCTAGGTGGGATGATAGGCAGCTGTGAGTAAATGTTTAACCCTCTGCAGAACGTATCATCTTAGAGATGCCTTGAAGAAGAAAGAAAGAAAGAGAGGAAGGAAGGAAGGAAAGAAGGAAAGAAAGAAACTTAGGACGGAGATGACTCCAAAGAAAGAGAGGCTTTAAATAAAAACAGCTCGGACTGTACATCGTGTCTTGCACTTCTAGCTTGAGGACCAGACTGCCCATCCCTGTTGTCCTCTGGGGTTGGGGCTTCCATCACTCAGGGAGGGCTGTCCAGCTCGTTAACATCTGCCAAGTGACTGATCTGCACTCTGAACACACACAGAGGAAGAGGATTGAGAGGGAGAGGCCTATGACACCGTCCCTTGTGGGCTTTGATGCTGCTGTTCACTCTCAGCAGGGCCTGCTTCAAAGCCCTTTGCTGGCGGTCATTAATGAGTCCCCCTTTCCCCAGAGAGAGGAGGACTTTGCTGCCACAAGAAGGGAGGTTAAATGCTGGCTCAGTACATTCCAGCTGGGATAAAGACATCAGAGACCCTGGGGTAATGTCAGTACATTTGGAAAACAAAACTCTGAGAGGGGAAGGGAGCTAAAGAGCAACCTAGCTAATTCCATCGGAAATGAATATTTTAGTTCTTGGAGGCAGAGAGGCAGCCCTTGTGGTTCCTTTAGGCATTTACAGGGAAGTGCTTGGAAGATAAAAAGCCCTGCACACCCTTTCCCCCAAGGCTCTGTGGTGCTATCCTAGGAAGGATCTCTGCCCTGCCACCAAGGGCTCCTTGTACTCCAGGGAGAACTGACCAGAACAAGTACCACATTGAGCTCTGAGAGGCTGCACATTTTCCCCCACCAGCTGTTATGTTTGAAAAATAAACACCCCAACACAAGGCCAGGCTATAGAGGCAGGAGGGGACGGTGTGGAAACAGATCATCCTCTTCTGGGTCAGTAAGGAAGTACAGACTCTGCAGTTCTTAGCACCCTACCTTCCTCCCTAGAAGTCAAGCTGAAATCCCTCACTCTCCGTTCACCAAGCCTCTTCAAACTCATCTTTCACTGCTCCTACACACATGACTCTCTCTTCTCAGACATGTGAGTTCCTGGCTGTCCCTTCCTGGTGACCTGTTAAATAACTAGTTCCTTTGTTTGTGGCTATCCTCCTTCTCAGAATGGCTCTGTCCTGTTTGCTTCTCATCCATGCCCACTTATCTCTCAGGACCTAGACTGAAACTTACCTCTCTTGGGAAGTCTTCTCCCAGACCAACTCACTTCCCACTGAGTTTTCTTAACACCTCTGTTTAAGTGTGTGCTGTTTTGTGCCTCCAGTGCAGGCATGTGTCTTGGTTTTCTCTTTCTTTGGTATTCCCAATAGGGTCTTTCCCATGCAGCATATAGCTGCTCCCTCCCCTCTTAAGGTCTCACCATTGATCCTATTGCCTTGGAGGTAGAGGTTCTCCAGGTTGGTGTTGACTGGGGGAATCTTCTGCAACTGATTGTAGGAGAGGTCGAGCTCAAGGAGGCTGCTGGAGTTGAAGGTGTTGGAGGCCAGCCCACTGTTGGTCAGGCTGTTGTGGGACAGCCGCACATACAGCAGCTTGGGTGAGCCCCGGAAATAGCTGTCAGGGACACTGTAGACGTTGTTGTGCTCCAGATACAGCTGCTCAAGTGCCAAAGGCAGCCCATCAGGCACCCTTCGAAGGTGGTTGTAACTCAGGTCCAGCAAGATCAATGATCGGAGGCCCTTCATTGCACTCCCCACTTCCTGGATTTCGTTGTGTTGGAGGTACAAGGCTGTGAGGTTCTCCAGCCCCTCCAGAGCATTGCTGGGGACCCGGGAGATCTGGTTGTGGTCAAGATGGAGCTCCCTCAGGGATCGAGGCAGTGGACCTGGCATCCGGGTCAAGTTGTTGTGGTCCATATACAGCCTCTCCAGGTGCTTCAGCTTGGAGAAGACCCTCTTCCCCACCTTATCGCTAGTGATCTGGTTGCCATGGAGGGCAATCCAGAGCAGCCCAGTGGCATTGTCGAAGACACCTTCCTGGATGGAGGAGATCTGGTTGTTCTGGAAGTAGACATACTTCATTCGAGAGGGGACGAAGGGCAGGTACTTAAGGTTGCGGTTATCACAGTACATGGCTGTGGGAAAGTTGGGCGGGCAGTCACACTCGTGAGGGCAATCGCGGGGCTCTGGTGGGGATGGAGAGCCATAGGCGTAGGCTGGACCTTCCTCTACCCCATAGGGATAAGGCTCATAGGGCTCATAAGGGTAAGGGTCATAGGGATCGTAGTAGGTGGACTGCTGGCTGCGGAGGTAGTGGAACCACCAGTGGGGATCTTCATCATACTGGGCCTGGGAGAAGGAGCAGAGCCCTGCCAGCAGCAGGAGGGAGGCCCACTGCATTTTGTCTGTTTGCAGAAAGGGAGAGAGAACAGAGCAAGCAGGTATGAGTGAGGCTTTAGGGAGGCCATTTGGTAGAGTAGTCAGGCCTGAGGTTGTATGCTGGGCAGCTCTGACTTCATTCTCAGGCACCTGAGAGCAGGAACCTTATAACCCCCTTGTTTGGAGCTTCCTCCCAGTATCTGTTCTGCACATGTGGTCCAGCTGGACCTCAGCTGTCTGAAGTAAATTAGGGGACCAGTGCATTTGCCACTAGTTGAAGAGTCACAGAAACAGTCTTAGACAAGAAAGAACTTGAATGGTGATGGGAGGGGCTTTATTATTTTGGAAGGGCAGATCTTTAGGAGCCTCTAGGAATCTGGAGGTCCTACTAGGGCCATTGGAAAGCCCACAGCAACAATCCCTGGGGTGGTGGAAGTAGGGAGTGCTCTTCAGGCCTGAACTCCCACCCAGCTAGACACCCCCAGGGAAGGAATATTTTCAGGAATCCAAGAGAAAAGCCCTCGGGGCAACTTCCAGGAGTGGCTTGAGACTTCAAAGGTGATCTGAACTATTTCTGGAAGATCTTTTCCTCTCTTAAGCAACCTAGGGGTTTTTAGTTTTTAGTTTTTGAGGAGGTATGTGGTCACTCTGTAGCCACCATAGGGTTTGGGGTACTCTCCAAAGTGCTATTATCTATAACAGTTTTCTGGGTGAGAAAACTCTCTGGTGAACAGTTTGTGGCTACTTGTGCAACTTAATTAGTATAGGGTCTTCCTATAATGGTTACGTGTCCCCTGCAGACAGAGGACACTAACACCCAGGCAGGGTGCTTGTCTTCTAGAGTGTGTGGTGAGTGCATGGAGTATGAATTAGTCCACCTCTCTGTCTTCCATGGTGTCTGGGAGAGTGCTAACCCTCCTCATGCTTGACCACAGACATGACACAAAAGCTGCATGCGGCCAAGCGAAATGAATGGGGAACACCAAAACATGGAACTGGAATTGGAGACTCTTGTGTGTGCCGAAGGAATATGGCTTAGAATGGGATTCTGGAATCCTCCCTCGTACTGAAAGCTATCTGCTTCAGTTCTCAGGGATGACAAAGTAAAGCCAGCTCTCCCCTACTACTCATAACCCCCACTATTCTAGCCCTGAGTGCCCCGCTAGAGGGGTTATGGTAACTACATGCTATTATTATTTTGGCGTGTGTGTGTGTTATTGGAGTGAAGGGAACTGAACAAAGAGGAGTGTTGAGAATTGGCTATGTCCAAGGAGCTATGATTGAGGTGGGTTCAGTTCAGGTTAGATGGCTTCTGGTTTGACTTCCTCGGCTCTGACAGGAGGGAGAGCTCTCTCTCTGGAGTGGAGAAATTAAAGAAGAGTGATAGGTCCTGGATCTCCAGGCTCCATATATAGGCGGTCTACATTGCTAGGCAACCTACATTGGGAGCTCTGGTGGTGTAGTGCCTAAGGCATTTGACTGCTAACCAGAAGGCTGGTGTGGTTCAAACCCACCAGCCACTCCTCGAAAGGAAGGTTGGGTAATCGTAATCTACTTCTGCAGTAATACCGCCTCAGAAACCCAAGGAGGGGTCACTATGAGTCAAATCTGACTCGACAGCAGTGAGTCTGGTTTTTGGTTTTTTGGGCAGCCTGTGGCCTTTGAGCTTGCTATGCTAGTGAGATGAGAAAGGGAAGACTTGGATTGAAATGTGAGGTTTGGAGTCATTTATGAGAGAAACTGAAGGTACAAAAGAAGAGGGACCAGGGGTGGCATATCAGGCCTGAGTACCCTACTCCGGCTCCCTACAGCCAATGCACTGCTTAGCTCTTGTGGGGAATGGGCACCTCCCAGAGTTGGAGTGTCACCCTTGGACAGAGAAACCTAAAGACTTTATTGGTGCTAGAAGTCACATATATCCCTCATATTGTGGTTGGCCTTGCTGGGGTTGTCAGCTCTGGGTAGAAGAAAGAAAGGAGTATAAATCCAACATCAGATTCAGTGAACTGATGGGAAGGGCCTCGACTATGACTCAACTTAGTCACCTTCTGGCCACCATCCCTCCCAGACCTCTGTCTTCTGAAGGCAGTTCCATTAGACACACTTCATTCCATCAGCCCCTGGGCTGTAGAGGAGCAGGCACTCTGGCTCATCCCTCAGGCAGCCTTAGGCCTCAGACAAAGAGCCCACAGTACTTCTGAGAAGCAGACCCAACTGCCCACTGCCTGGGCATGCTGGCTGGTCCGTGGCTCTGGCCAGGAGAGAAGACAGATGGAGCGGCCCACTGCCAACAGCGCATTTTTCCATGCATAGCCTGGGCTGCTGCAGGACCAAGGTGGCTGTCTGGCGGGCTGGCACAGTGAGCCTCTGTCTCCATTTCTCCTTCTTCCAGACTGGGCACCTTGGCAGACAACGGCTATCTTCCTCCTCAAGACATAGTTTTTCAAGGACCAGTATACCCTGCCCACTTTGGCTTTTCCTTAGGAGACATGCCTGCTGAAAGGGGTGTTGGGGAGCTTATGCCTTGCCTTACCCCACCCTCATCCCTTAGCAATTCTACACCAGGACTATATTAAAAGTTTTTCCCCTAATGCTGAGACCTTCCTGTGCTCAGAGTTTTGTAAGGTGGAAAATTTCTAGAATTGACATTCTATGAGTTAGGGGAGCTTACTCAGGACCTACCACTCTTCTTCCATTTCTCCACTCTAGAGAGAGAGCTCCCTGTCCTGTCAGAGCTGAGTAGGTCAAGCCAGAAGCCATCCTCTAACCTGGATTGAACCCATCTCAATCCACAGCTCCCTGGACATGGCCAATTCTCAAAATTCTTCCTTGTTCACTTCTCTTCACTCCAGCCACACACACACACACACACACACACACACATACACACCCCAAAATTTCAACAGCATGTGGGTACCACAACCCCTCTACAGGGACACTTGGGGCTAGAATGGGGGTGGTGGTTATGAGTAGTAGGGGAGAGCTGGCTTCCCTATCTGGTCCTTCACTTTTGCATGCCTGAGAATTGGAGGTTTCCTGCAACAACCATAAAATAACTGTAGAGGAAAGGGAAAATCTGGAAACCCCCCCCCTTTTTCCTCCCCATTTGCCCCTCTCCAGCATCCCTGGGATCACTGTGCACATGGAGAGAATGAAAAATGACTTCTCCCTGCCATGCCCCCTCCCCATTCTCTAGCCCTTCCTTTACTTCCTTGATGGAACTACAAGGGATACAAATTGAAGTAAAATGACTAAACTTACCTCGAGTTGAACCTTTCAGAGAGTGACCACGTTCCTCTGTCTGGCTTCCTTGGGTTGGAGAGCTTGTGAGAGAGAGAGAGAAAGAGAAAGAGAGAGTGAGTGAGAGTGTGTACTGAGAGTGTGCGTCTCTATGCCAGGCCAGGGTCCCGCCCCTAAATTCCTAATCAAATATTGTGAAGAGAGGGGCTGAGGAGCCTGGATCCTGGCTTTTTCGGCTCTGCTGCAGGGGCGGAGCTCACACTCACCGTGCAAAATCCTTCTATCCCCCTGACGCTATAAAAGCCACCTTCTTTGCACACACTTATCTTTCCTGAAACATTGGCAGCTTTGGGGCTCTTTCTGCTGCATGAGTTAGTGGCATCCCAGAAGTTATTTGTACAGTCTCTTAGGAGATGCCTGGATTCCTCATTAAACCCACAAGAGAAGATGCAGGGATGGGGAGAGCCAGGGTTTGGGAAAAGGCATCTTAACTCCTTCAGTAACCCAAGTGTCCCTAGGCAAGCTAGCACTCACTTTTCTTAGCTTGAGTGTCCCTCCTGAGCTTTGTGGTTAGACTGGTAGGTAAGACAGCATGACATAGGACAGCTGGATCTGGCTCCAGTTCTATCTCTGACCAGTGTAGACTTCCCTGGACTACAGGATTGTTTTCTATTCCAATCAGTGGAAGAGAAGGAAATTTAAAATTTGTTGAGCACCTACTATGCCCTAGCCTCATGCCTTCTCATTTAATCCTCAGAGCAGTCTTTTTTTTTTTTTTTAAGAGTTTGTTTTACATTCAACATTACATGTATACTTAGTTTCACTCCCCATTTAGCATGCCCAACCCTTACCCAGTTTCCTCTCCTCCCTGCCCAGTAAACACCACCCCCCCCCCGTGCCCCTCAAAGTTATGCACTCCTGTTTGTCCTGAATTTCCTCCATGTGAATGTTTGGTGCCCCATGGTCTATTGCTCCAAGGGAAGTATTTCCATAGAGTATATAGGTGTGTCACCCTGGGTTGAGTGGTCTGCATGTACATCTTGTTAACTATTGGGCTGAGAGCTAGCCCCTGGTAGTGAGTTTTATTCCAGGCCCAGAATGTATCCCAGGGCCATAGTATTGGGGGTCTCATCAGACTCTATCCAACCAGTAATTCTGGTCATTACTGAAATTCTCACAGGACTGACTCTTAACGGTTAGCAATTCTTACCTTGTTTGGTTGTAGCCAGGACTAAAGGAAGTAGGGTGTGAAGCACCTGGCCAAGCACATAGCTGATGCTCAGTATGTGGTACAGATTATTACTGTCATGCCCATTTTACAGCTGTATAGTCCCTGACCGAGGGGAAGATGAGGTCAGAGAAGTAGGCCAAAGATAGATAGTGAAGGGGCTTTCAGGCCATGGAAAGGATTTGGTTTTCTCTCTATTCTAAATATTTTAAAAGCAATATATTTCAAGCATGGGGAGCTATGAAATCACATTTACATTTTTAAAAGCACATGGGAGGGACTGCTTTGTGGAGAAAGGGTAGTGAAAGTGGAAGCAGGGAAAGACTCTTTCCCAACCTCTTTGAGAGATAGCAGCTTCGGCTAGTACAGTGGTTGATAGAACTGACAAGTCTTGCAGATGGATCAGGTATGAGGAGTTAGGGGAAATCAAAGATAACGTCTAGATTTTTTGTTTGAGCAATGGGATGGGTAGTAGCATCACTTTCTGAGATGGGAAAAATGAGGAAAGATAGAGTTGGGTGGAAAACCAATGTTATGTTTTGGATGCTAAGTTA